ATAATGCTGCAATGTAAATATTCAAACTAACACCACAATACATTGCCGAGGTTTTTCAGCAACATATACCTACACTAGCCTCATCTCTCTCTGGTATTACATAAGAATATTTACTCTCATTCTTTCATGCATATTGGTTATGCATATTGGTTGCTATAGTTGAGCATAGTACCCCTAAGTCAGGTAGCGGACATTCAGTTAAAGTATCTGAATAGATAAAACAAACTGTCAGACAAGATATAAATACTGACTTAGGTTTTCATGAATTCCATATTAATGGCAAACAGTGCATACCCACCTCTTCACCTTTAGAACCCTTGGATCCTTTAGAGCCAGGTCTTCCCAGAAATCCACTTGAACCTTTTCTTCCTTTGTCTCCCCTGGCCCCTGGATCTCCTCGCTCACCTTTTGGCCCTTCTGGATACACATATCCTGGCTCACCTTTTGATCCTTTATGTCCTTGATCGCCTCTAAAACCTGGAGGTCCCTGTAACAGAGTAATGAAAAGAATTTCAGTGCTAGACATATGCCAACTGTTTTCAAGCTTTCTTTTTTTAAATTAAACACCTGACAGCGGTTCTCTTTAGTCTCATCTTTATTTACTGTAAGAGCACACTTGATTGAACAGGGTTTTTTTGGTTTTGTTTTTTGGTTTTGTGTTGTTTGGGGTTTGTTTGTTTGTTTGTTTGTTTTTTTGTTGTTGTTTTCTTTTTGTCCTGCCTTTACTCCTTTTGGCCCTGATTATAATTTCATTTATGCTACTATAAGCAGGAATAATGCAGGATCATTTAATGGATGACTGTGAGCTACCTGTTTGTGCTTTGGTGGCACAAAAAGAAGAAAGTATCTTAACATCTAATTAAAGATTCCTCCTCCACACGGAAATATCTCCCCAGGGACACTATAACTGCTACAGTTGGCTCCATTCATAGTTAACTTCTCCTCTCCTTTCTTTCCCGCTCAGGGTACAAAGTGGATACTCTATCCCAGCCAAAACCAGTACAAGCTGAAAGCACACTGGGCTCTAGTGATCTTGGGCTCATGAACTCTTGGGAGCCCTCTGGAAAAGCCTGTTAGCAGACTCATTCTGTACCTGTACAGCCACCACCACAATGAACACTTGTGCATGACATTTTTTTATTGGACAGTACTGACTGTAATTTCTCATAAATAATTATTACTATAGGCACAAGTTAGAACAACCAAATGATATGTCTGTGGCTGCAGGTGTCAGCCTTCCCTCTTCATAATGTTTCCCAAGAGGGAATGTCCTTTGCACCCCTGAAAAGGGTATTATGAGAAGCAAGTTTCTCTGTACAGCTAGGGCTTTAGCAAGTCCTGTGTATGCTGGAAACAAGAGAAGTCTGATGAAGATCACAGCACACGAAACACTATATATGCTTTACAGCCACTGCCATGACTATAGAATTATGCAGATGAACGGAAGTTAACTGTGAACTACCCATACCAGGCAGAAGAAGCAGTCTAGCCATCCTGAAATGCAGCGCAGGTGTTTACCTGCCTTACCGCCTCGGCTGAACTTCTTGCTGCAATGAGCAAAACAGACTCATGTAAAGCTAGGTCAGCCATACGTTACAGTCTCTACTCAGGCCTTCCATGCAGACACATTCATTACTACAGAAAGAAAACTGTTGAGAACACCCAGTACGACACTGCATGTAACACCAGCTGTGAGGTTTCTCTGAAGTAATTCTTGGGGGATCTGAAAAATAATCTGAAAAACCAAAGTCTTACTTGAGCTCCTGGAAAGCCCGGTGCTCCTGGAGAACCTGGAGAACCTTTTGGACCTGTTGGTCCTTCTCTACCTGCAAAAGAAACAGTGTATTTTGTAAAGAAAAATGAAAATAAGGACATGGATTTTGACAAGCTCTGATAACCACACCCAGCATCAAATGTTTCTGCTTCTTACATCGACTGCATTATCATAGACTGACCTGGCTTCAGGCTGCACCTACGCCTATTAACACTCTGACCTCTTTTAGGGCTTGTGCTCGTATCAGTGGATGGAGCTGTACCAGGTTCTCACATCCATCACAACCTCAGGGCTAGTTCAAGGACTGCATGCTGCAGACATATCCATACCTGATTCTCATGCTAAAAGCAAAACCATTAGAATTTCCTACTATCCTGTTAGAAACAAGAAGATAATTTACCAGGTATGCCATCCTGGCCATGTGGCCCAGCAGAACCAGGAAGACCAGGTATTCCCGGAATATAGCTGCAATCAGTACACACATAGGCTTCATCACCTAAAATGAAAATAATTCATTAGTTGTTCCACCACAAGTCATTCCCAAGCTTAACTAATGTGTTAGGTACTTTGTTATAGAGGATGGCTAGCACTTTTAGGTCAGAGAACAGTAGAATCACAGCCTTAATCTTGTTGGAAGATCATTTCCAACACAGTACAAAATTACCTGTGGTCAGATAATGAATCAGAACTGATTATATTTAATGGAAAATGCAGGAATGTTCAGTTTAAATCCCTGGATTTTTTCACATCTAGTTTTAGTAAACCATTTGGATATAGTCACTCTACTGATAAGCCAAATTCTCTCAAAAGAAGAAAGGGACATAGGCTTCAAACTAACACGGCTCCATAACAGCCTGGGTAACTTTAATGACTAGCAAGTGGCAAAGAGATTCAGCAGCTCCTGTGGTGAAATTTGCAAAAGGAACCTTCTCTCAGAGAACAACTGTTAGTGATGAACATAACAACAGAATATGAAAACCCGACCAATCTGTAATAATTGTTTGTTCCAGTGAAGATCTATACCCTACTGTAGTGCTGTACAACTGGTGTGCAGCACTGGCACATGCATTGCTCTTTTGGCTGCTGTTTACTGTAAGGGGAGGAAGACATCTTGCTATTCCTGATGAATTTTCTTAAATCTCTGAACTCATCAAATGGCTTAAGAGGTAAATTAAGCACAAAATTTCATGAGGACCCATGAAGATTACTGGATTGTACCATCTACTTTTGAGTGATAGTTTTCTGAAACTGACCTTTCATGCCCGTATCTCCTGGAGGTCCGGGAGGTCCTGCACACCCTGGCTCTCCAGGAAGTCCTGGCAGGCCGGTTCTAAACGTTACTCTACCTGTTAATGAAATGAGCATGGCACCATTACGTCAGTAGGTTATTCAGACAATTCTCTAGTTGCTAAGAGAGGAAAGAAAGTTGCAGGGATGAGCTGGAGACAGTATTCTGATCCTTACACATCCCTTTCAACTTCAGCTATTCTATGATTCATTTAAAAGAGAACTACTCGGACAAATCCAAAACACCTGTAACTGGAAGTACTTGAGGATAAATATGGTAATGCCAAAGTAAATCTCAGTAGACTGTTGGATCCATCTGTCTAGCCTTTAAAAAGCATAGTCCCTTCTGGGGAAAGTATTTCCAGTTTATTTGAATCAACAGAAACATAATTCTTTCTTTTACCATGAATGGAAGGGAAACATTTTTTTTAATTGTAAATTACTAATGCTGCATGTATCTTTGACAGAATTATTCTGCTGTATTAACTATTACTTTGAAAAATCAGAACATGCATTTAGTTCTTCCTAAGATAATATATTTGGGGGATAGATATATTTTTCTAAGAGAGAGAAAAAAGAAGCACTACATTGGTAGTGGTTCAGAAAAACTTGTTTTGGCCCTATCATATATAAAAGAAATGTGGTGCTGTTGGAACTCCTAGTTAAAGAGGTATTCCTAGTTAATACAATTTCTAGAAGTTTTATAAACTGCTACTGCTTTATTTTCATGCTGCCAGAACTTCAAACCTGCTCTAAGGACCACTAAGACCTCTGGAGGCATGCAAGTGATTTCTCTAGCTTTTAGATTAGCCCCTTCTGAATTTAGTTTTACAGATTTACTACAACTTTTGGAAGAATTAATTTTAAGAACAGATTTTCTCTTATTAGTCTTTTCTGGTTTTATGTAGCAGATTTGTATAGCCACAGTTATACTAAAAGGTGAGAAATCTTTATACTGGGAAGTCATTGTATCTTCCCCACAGAATCTCATTAGTAATGGAGCACAGACCTTTGCTATATATGTGTTTTCATGAATATCCTAAAACAAAATTTCCAAACAGAAATTATATTCAATTATATTATTCAAAATATACTCTGTAAGTAATGTATTTATATAATCTCATACATTAGATATTGAGATGACTCTGGACTTGTTCTTGTTCATTATATACACAGTACTGAAACATCACCTGGTTCTCCTGGAGGACCTGGTAATCCCATAGAACCAGGTCTCCCAGTAATACCAGGCAGTCCTGGAGGGCCTACAATACACAAGCCAGGTTGTCCTTTCTCTCCTTTTGTTCCTTTTGGCCCAGGAAATCCTCGGGGACCTCTCAGACCAGGTCTTGACACACCTAACCAAAGAGGAAAAAATACAAAAATGAAGTTAAAGAAGAAATGGAATTTCAAAGCAAAGTAAGTACTCAATACGATGAGTGAGAGACAAACATACCGAGTTCATTCCACAAATCTTTTTTATCTTGCAATATATTAAATAATCATAATGAGAATGTAAAGACGTTTTAAAATGATCTTTAACCTCTCTTTAAATATTTGGCCCACCAAAGCTTTTGGGTGACAATTTTTTACCACTTAGAGATATGTTTAAAATCATCTGAAGCTAAGATTCCACAAAGCTGATTCAGTATAACAGACAGGAAGAACAATGTATTTTATTGTTGGTACCAGATCATTATGCGTACCTGGTCTACCAGCATCACCGGGAGCCCCCTGTGGCCCTGCAAAAGCAATGTATTTAGAACTTGAGTTAAACCACTGTATACTCTGCAAAGTCACTACTCAATAATATTGACTGCAAACTTTGGGCTTCTGCATTTTAAGCTTATTTTATCATATAAGAATTTGGTTTTGCCTAAGTAGGCATCTACTACTTATGCAACTGTTGCATACTGACAATTCTCACTGAAATTTGGCAAGATATGGATGTTTACAACAGGTAGGAATAGGATCCACCACATTTATCTTAGGTGGGGATACAGTCAATTACTTGAGAACAACTTACAGGCCTGCAAACTTGCTTCTTTTTGCCACTATTATTTGCTCTAGTAAATATACCACCTCTTATCAATGCATTAATATCTTTGCAAGGCTCAACTTTCCTGTTGCCATCCATTGGAAGTATGTAAGTAGATTTATAACAACAAAGTGTATTCATTGAGTGCAACACAGTCACTTAGATACATAAATATTCATAAAAACGGAACATCAAAACACAGAAGGCAAGGATTTGCTGGATGAGTATGAGATAGGGCCTACAAGATTGTGCCTCAGAGTTCAGCCCACAAGTCCTTGTCATATTGTGATACAGCTCAAATAATAAATCAGTACATTTTAATTTTACACCATGGCCAAAATAAAAAAAAAAAAAAACAACACAAACCAAAAAAACCCTTACAGATCGTTATTATAACCTACCAAAAAAAATGTGAGCAAGACAGAGAAAAGTGCATGACCTTTAACAGAAGACTTACACCCCTGATGGTTTGTCTACAGCATATACAAATGTGCTGATGCAGTAGTCCACTAAGGTCAGGAGACAGGATGTCAGTGAGCTTAGGTGCTCAACTCAATTAACTGTGCAAAGATGGGTGCCAGCTTCATTATTTTTAAGAGGAAATACAGCCATAAATCAAAGTCTAAGGATACATTTCAGTTCTATAATATAATGAGAGTAATTTGGAAATATTCTTGTAAAGGCAGAACATTGGGTGCTCAAAAACTTAGCCTGCAACAACTCCTTTGAGTGGGCAGCTCTTGCTAAAAGATTCTAGTTTTGGTGCCCCACTCACCAGGCATGCCACGTTGACCTTTTGGTCCTGGAGGTCCGGGGGGTCCTTCATCTCCTTTTTCACCAATGACAACATCATAATACTCCGTCTTAAGAGAAAGATGGTAAGAAAAGAAAGAATAGTAAGAATGAAGAGAGAAGCACAGTATCTCACATTGAACATTTTGTTAGACCAATACTATGATCTCTTTCATAATTTTGATGTTGTGACACAATGAAACCTTTCTAATCATATGGTAATTACAAGCAGCCAGAAATGGAATCATAATTGTTATACACAGATAATGCCAAGAGACTTGTACCCCCAAATAGATGGGGCTGGGATTTCAGCTCAATTCCGCAACTCCCAGAAAACTCCTCTGCCTGTAGATGCAATTATACAGGCAAGGCGTAAGTCAGAGATGCAATTACAAATATTATGGTAGCATGAAATAGAAAATATTCTTGAAAGAAACCTTTAGGAATCACTTAGTCTATTCCATTGGCTCAAAGCAGCATCAGCTATATCTAGACTACTCTTTTAAATAACCATACATGAAAACAGGCAAAAATCAACTACTTCAATCACATGTGCATTAAAAAGTCATTCCTATAAACACGAATACTTAATTTATTAAAGTTTAATATTATGATGTTTCAAAGTTTCACAAATGACAGACAAAATCAAAAGGCAGTCTGCTGTAACCCTATTTTTTTATAACCACAAATTTTTGCTCTGTTCTGGATTGTTTTGCATGGGCACCATTACTGGCAAATCAGTATTATAGTAATTATTGTGTTTTGATATATAAGCATCACACTGAAATTTAAACTGACTACTAATGCACCAATTTAAAAAGGAATAAAAAAACCTGCTTAAAATTAAAATTCAAAATTTTTACTTTTCTCCTACAGATTTTTTGAAAAGCAGTGTTTTTTTAGTACTCTCTCAATATCACAAATGATTCAGCTTTTTACAAAGTTATTTCTTTTGAATAATTTGGGCAGAAGATTTCCATTAGGGTGCATGGGGCCTTTAAGAAAGCCACTAGCGAGACAGCATGACTAAACAGAGAAATTGTTCTCATAGCATCTCTTGCTTTCTTTAATAAGTCTTCTTAGGTTTTTAAAATTAACACCACCAGTTCTGGAACTGATTAGAGATTTGTTTAAGAATTAACTCCTGTGAATTTTTGTAAGTGTTCTGTGATAGTCCAATCTCCTGCCAAAATTGCTGGAACTGAGTGAGGTCTAACCAGGCCCTGATTGTACATCCAGTTCCACATGAAGGAAGATGTCATCTCTGTGAGACTCCCAGCAACATCAGTACTTTGAGAAAGCCATGCCTCAATTACAGCATCATGAAACATCCATTACTACCTCATACAGTGTTTGGCTTATTCTTATTCCAATGGTTTAGAAAAATAATATGATGAAGATAATATACACTTACTCGACCACAAGCTCCAGGTGGACCAGTGCTTCCTTTCATCCCCTTCATCAGCAGACAGAGATGGGTTTGTTTATTAAAAACAATACATGACATGACATTTGGTACCCACTGTTACTTCAGTACATTGCTCGTAACATTAAAGAAGAACTTCTGCTCCTGACCAGTCCTTCACCACCACCATCTCTGTTCCTTACACAACTATGCAGCCACATACACCAAAAACTACAGGAACACATCAGCAGGCATAGATGGACACCAGTTCAAACACATGATCTATTTCAGCTGATCCATTCTGTATTCCATGATATCATTACTTGTCATCTTTAGGTAAAGTAAAACATAGTGTATATACAGTGATAAATAAAACAATGTAATAACCCAAAAACATAACATATCCTCATCCTGAAAAGTAACAACAAAACCATTAGACAATACCTTAGCTCCTTGCCTGCCAGCCAGTCCTGGTTGGCCCTGTTCACCCTTTTGTCCCTGCAGATGAAAGTACACAATTTCATGAGGATTAATCTTTTAGTACTCTCATCAGTAAGATCTAAAATGGAAAGCTTTAATCCTCCATGGCGATGGCAAGGTGAATGTGACTTGCTCAGAGTAAGAAACCTCAGGGAAAGACTTGGTTTGGGGTACAGTTCCATGTCTGTGGGAAATACCGCAGGTCTCTCATCCAAACCTGCCTTTATAATGGCACACTCCACCAGTCCCAAGGTGGAGCTGCTCTGGATAGCACAAGTTGTAGGAGGCTCTGGTTTGTTCTCCCTCTGAAAACTGCTATTTCTGACAGGGGAGAAACCGAACACAATGTGAGACTCTCACATTCAGCAACTCCCTCTCCCAGAACGTGGGCAGTCTGCATGATGGTGCTGATCTCAAAAGGTGTCAGCAAGACCAGGAGGAAAAATAGTATGGTCTGCTGCTAAGGCTTTCTGCAAGTGTATACATGCAATGAAAAGGGACTTCTCGGAGGTTTATGCAGTTGAATGCACTGCTAGTTAGTAAAATCAAAATAGGAACAGAGCAATGACATGTCTTTGTCATGACAAAGTTTTGTTTCTGTTAACTGATGCAGTAGAGCTTTGCGGTCTGTAATTCCACATTCTTTGCCAGACTAGAATGTGTTTAGACTGTCTGCGAAGGTCATTTTGGCATGATGAAGATGATGTTTTGGTACGATACATGTCAAATGGGCTATTCTGACAATAAGAATTTTGATAAGATATTTGTAAGGTCACTGCGACACTAATGATGTTGAAGTGGAGGTGAAGTAAATATAAAAGAACTGATACTTAACCAATTGAATACAGTATTCCAAATACATTTGAACAACTTTAGCTTTTAAATTAGTTCACAAACAAGATCATTTTGGTTATAAAATGGCATATTTTAAGAATTACATGACAGGATGACAGTTTTAATATCTACCAGTTACTTTGTTTCAGGCCAAGGCAGCTGTGACCTTGACAGTAACTTTTCTTTGTAAAAGAACGTCTTTGATTCTAGTCATTAAAAATCATTCATTTTGCTTCTTGATTTATGCTGAAGTGAAGGTATAACTCTTCTGCAAAAATTTCAATGTGATTAACCGGAATTAAACTCAGTACAATCAATTTTGTGTAACTTGGACCATGTCTCAAACTCATTAGTCAGCAGCAAGCAACAGGTCTTTTTATTTTACACAGAAGAGACACATCTATGAATTGAGGCTCTCTCTCTCACATACATCTATGAGGACATGGTATGTCCCAAGGCCAGCTGTGTGAAAGGAAATGTTTCACAGTGTATGTGAATCAACATTTCAAACACATTCTGCATTGGGGAGAAAGCTGTGACAGGAAGATATGACTGTGATAAACAGATGACTATTACTTAGAAAACATTTAGAAGGCTTCCTTCATTACCTGTAAGCCAGGTGGACCTGGGACACCTTCTTTTCCAGGTTTACCCTACAAAGGAAAAAACATAAAATTTAAAAAATTAAGAAGATCAAAAGAGGGGTCATTGCATTCAAAGAGCATAACAACTAAATGCTGTGCATATAAATGTATTTTAGGTCTTTATAAATTTTGAAAAGCCACTAAGGTTATTTTTTAAATGTTCATTATTTCTAATCATAACTAATGTCCACAAAACTCTACAGAACAGGGAGTAAGATATTCCCTGGACATTCCTCCTCCTGTGGAGGATTAGTTGAGGCAGACACTTCACCAGCACAATGTGCCAGGCAAGTGCAGAAAGCTTGGTGAAAATCAGGTCCTTACAGAAGCACGACAAATGATAAGACAATAGAGCAACTAGCAGCCCTTCTAATGGTGAACACAGAAAGATACTGAAGGGAAACTTTTATAGGAAATGGGGCTAAGAGATGACTTGATGAGAAATTATTTCATGAAAAAGAATATGGAGTGCACTTCAAAGGTATTGGAAGTAGGGCAGTAAATGGAAAAGTGAAAGCAGAAGGAGGCAACATGCCATGGTATCTGCTGTTTTCTATGGCGCACAGCACATTAGGCAGCCTTCTGCTGGGGTCCTGGTATCTAGTGTGGCAACAATACATGTTAAGCAATTCATAACAACAACAAAAAAAGAAGAAAAAGGGAAAGGAGAGAAGGGGGGAAAATGGGGAGAGAAACAGAATGAAATGAAAAAATTATTCTGAATACGGATACCTGGATTGCCACCTTGAAGGCAGAAATGAGGAAAACTTGGTTCATTAAGGTAGTGGTAAGATAAAAGGTGGGGTGGAAGGTTATGAACTCAGAACAACAGAGGAGAAAGTGTGTTTTAGAAATTTGTTCTGCACAGAATAAATTAATGAAACTTAAAATAACGTTGAAAAAGATGACCAGACCATGAATTACAATGTAAGCATCAGAAAAAACAGCAATACTCAAAAGACGGCAGAACTTAACCAAAGATAATACTCCAGAAGAGAAGAACTGGAGCTGGAATGATGTCACCACAGGCTCAAAATGTGCTTGCACAAAATAATATTTTTTTCTAGAACGTAAAATCCACAGCCATTTGATATTTTGTGCTCACTGATGTAATTCCAATAGCAAAAGGAAATATTTTGTTTTCATTTTAGAATAGCCTATCAATGTCATAACAGAATTTGTATTTCCTTAGCACTCTTCAAGGTCAACAGGCAGAAAAGTAAGGGTGCTGTACTAGGTCCTCCACAAAGGAGGAAGGGAGAGGTGAATTAAGAAGAGTTCTAAAAACTACTGCGTGACAGGACAGGGCTTTTGCAAACAGAAGACATAATATGGAAGAAACACAGAAAATGGAGGAAGAATAACACACATTGGATAGCAAGAACTTTTAGTATTTTACACCTGTAACTGAAATAGAAATTAAAATTTCCATAATGTATAGGAATAATAAAATAGCTACCAAGTTGCTGTATAGCATCATCATCGTTATAACACTATACAATTGAAGAAAGAGCAATCTATAGGTAGTACTGGTCTTGTCCTGCTACCTTTCCTTGTGGAAGAAAATTTATTGCAACATCAATAAGTATGGGAAAAGTTTCAAAATATATATGTTCGGACTGAATGAACTATTTAATTTGAAAACTATTTTTCTTAATGTTGCTTTCAAAATATATTTGGAATCAAAATGTTTTGTGACATTTTCTGAACCAAACATTTTGATTTATTTGGATATTTTAGGGTTCTCCCCTGATTACATATTGGTAAACTGTTATGAATTCATACACTTTTAGTTACTAGCAAACTGCATCCTCCATTGATTAGTTTTTATCTGAAAGTTTGAAAGCCATTTAAATGCAGAGTGGTAACTTTCTATTTAATTATTTTCAAAATGTAGATATACTCAAGTAAATTATAATGTGTATGCTTTCTAAAATAAACATGATTTTTTCTCATATTATCCTGTTAACAGAATAACTTTCTTATGACAATTTCTTCACATCTCCACATACCTGCTAGTTGAGCATAGTAATTTAAGTCTGCTGCCTTAAGTAAGCCCAATGTTTTTAATTCTCTTCTACATATACACTGGCACTATAAAGTCAGTATGTGTTCAGAAGAGGACTTTTTTTTTTTTCTAAGTTTCAACAGTAGAATGTTTACAACAAAACAAACAGAAGTGCATCCACCATCAACTGACCTTTAATTCATGTACTCATGATATGTCAGCCTATAAGAACACCCATTTGACTTTCAGCTCTCTAGTCTGGTTTACTGGATGAAGAGCTTTTGAATCTAAGAAAATTTGCCCTGAGTGGCATTGAAACAAAAACTAGAGAGCAACACTAGTGCCAAACTGCTTTTCAGAAAAGACTAACGTGTATTCAACTGTTTGCACATACCTGTGCTCCAGGTTCTCCACGGTCACCCTTTTCACTTTGAGAATCACCAGCTGGCCCCTGTAACAAAACCACACTCAAGGTACACATATTTTGAGACTCACATTTTCTAAATTAAATATACCTTTTATAATTTTGTTATCTTTAAAAAAAAAAAAGTATAAAGTACAGTTAGAATGCTATTAATAGGCATTCTATTCTATTCATTAGTTCTATTCATTAAAGGTTGCAATAAGTAGTGTAAATACTGGACTGTAAAGAGTAGCATTTACCACGTGATGCTGCCTGAACATCTGGATTTAAGGGATTTACTTCTGGTCACTTACTGTAAACCCCATTGGCCCTGGAAGTCCTCTTGATCCTTTTTCTCCTTTCTCTCCTTTCAAGTCCTATTAGACAGAAAATAAAAATTTAATATGGTGTCTTGGATTTTTCTATGTTTACCATAACACTCAAGTTTTACAAACAGGAAATCTTTATGTTACCAGCAAGCTTCTGCAATCTTTCTCTTCCCTCCTCTACAGTCTTGATGCAAAATTCATTTTTTATTTTAGCACATAACAGAGAGGGAGTTTGATAACTCCATGGATTAGATACAGATTAAATAAGGAAAACAGAGTCAAGAACAGGTTGAAGACTTGTTCTCTTAATATGTGAAGACTTAAAGCGTTCTATCAACTATTGCTGTTAAAGTTCTATATAAGGACAAAATGCCGAAATTTTAATTCATAAAGCAATATTAAAATGAAAGCTGAATCAGAGTATTTCCTTTCTCCAATACTCACTGTTTTTCCAACACTTCGTATGATTCTCATGTTCCAGTAAAAACAATGAGAAAATAAACTATGAAATGTACATGAACATATTGTAAACTTCTGTGAAACTCTGGTAGCTCAGAGTCGTGATATATTCAGTGACAAGGCCCAGAGGTCAATGCAGCTGTGGCTTTGATAGCCATTCAGAAAATCCATGTTGATTTGGTGAAGCTAGAAGTAATTTACTTTTCGTGTGCTCAGAGATCCACAGCAGATGGGTCACTAATAAGCATTTAGCATTCCACTGGCATCATGCAGATATCTGTGCATGTGAATACACAGGCCTCAGCTGAGCTGGCTGTACAGACACACTCTAAGAAGAGCTCTGTATCTAACTAAACAAGTCTGAAAAATGTTAGGACGGGTAAAAGGAAATGTTATTGGAACAATGAAGATGAAAATGTCCTCTCAAAGTAAAACCTAGTAAGATGGCTCATCTGAACATGATGTTTTACTACCGTGATGTTGTCTGGTCCACTTAATGTCACAATAACAGTTCCCGGTGGTCCAGGGGGCCCAGTTAATCCAGTGTCACCCTTGGAAGAAAAAAAAGAAAAACAGAGCAATTACAAGCAGTGTGGTTTTATTGCTTCAAATTACTATCACTTATAGTTTTGACATTGTGAAAACTTTTCTGTCATTACAGTTAGTTGTTAATACAGTTAACATTTCTCTTTGGTTGCTATTTATCTTCCAATAAAAAAGGCATATGGAAGACTTAGGAATACTATGACAACCTTCTCCTAGCTGAGAAATATAAAAATGCATATACTGATTTCTGTTAAAGTATCTAGAATTATCTTAAATTTGGGATATTATTTGTTTAAAAGTTATAAAACTATTTTAACTCGAAATCAAATAAAAATATCTCCATGATTATGATTTTTCTCTCAATTTGATTAAGTCAATCAAGAAAATATACAAACTGTCTTTGATGACATCCTCAAAACTGTGGTCTGTATTACAGGGAGATGACTGCAACATAGTGCTGACAGACAAAATTAGTTTTATGTATCCTTAACCAAAAACATTCATACTGCAGTACACTTTTTCATTAAGGATCTTTTAGAGCAGGGAAAGTCCTAAATGTGATCTTTCCTGTGGAGCTCAACAAAACAACATCCATAATTTCCAGTGATTTTAAGCCAGTGGAATGTCTTTGCACGCACTTGCAGTCTAACAGCAAAGAACACATCACTCTTTCATAAGGAAGCAAGATGCTCCATGGTCGCCTGAGCTAACACTAATTAATAATCAATTCTATTCACAGATATTTTCCCAAGAAACTTCTACCACATTCCCAGTAGTAATTACAGAGTTAAAACCAATCCCACTGTCAGATAGTGCTGTTTCAGTTCAGAGCTGAATTCACGCAGGTCAGTTAGCACAACTGTGAGATGCCCCAAGTTCTTGAAAGGACATTCAGACTGACTACACTGGCCCTCCAACCGCAGGCTGAGGTCCTGAGAGACAATATATGTATTCGTAGTCATTTCTAACTTAATGTCAATTATATGGGATACAAAGTAAGAACATAGATGACAAGTCATCTAATTTTTATTCAAAGTCTGGGAGGTTTTCTAGCATCATAAAGACTAACACTGAAAAGATGTTGTGAGTCTACAGATGCTATATATTTATCAATGGTTACATGCTCAGATAAGCATTTAGGAACACTGGGCAAACCATATATAAATTAATTCAATGCTATGTGTTAGTAAATACCAACCACTGTCTCCTCTTAGGTTTCTACCCTTCTATCAGGAAGTTTATATCATTGGCTTTTATGTAAAAACAGTTTGTCCTTAGATATTAATTGCCTTGTTTCCATTTTCCAATAAAAGACTTCCACATATATACTGAAAATTTTTATTTTACAGTACTGACCTCCCCAAACATTTCACCATAGTGTATCAGAAAAAGCAGAAAACAGAAACAAAACTTAAAAAATGTTTTAAGCATTTTATACAATTACCTTTCTTCCTTTGGTTCCTATTACTTTTAGTCCCATAAGTCCCTGTAAAAAAATCCCCAAATGTTATTTTTTTTAATCTTAAAAACACCTATAAAATGAGTTAATTGATGTTACACATAATAGGAAGTTTCATTTTTATTACCAATCTGAGAATACCTTAGGTCCAGGAGGTCCTGCTTTCCCTGGCATGCCCTACAAAAAAGAAAAAAAAAATCCGCTAATTAAAAAAATTAAAATCTTCAGCACCAATACAGGTGTTTTGAAGTACCCAATTTTCATTTGAGTTATAGCACTATTTTTATTCTTTCTTCTGCCTTTACAACCACAATTTGTTGTGAGTAGGTGACAGAATGTCTATACAGTCTTGTTGCAAGCATATACATCCCTCTTACAGTTATACACATTAGTATTTAAAGTGAATTTATGGGTAATTATTTGAAAATTAAAATTTATGCCTACATGGACAAGGATACTTCTGAAAACATGGAAATTATCATGCATAAAAATAACCAAAAGAAACTGGGGAAAAAAAAAAATCATGTGTGCAGAAGGATATGGATTTTGCATACACATCTCTAGACCTCAAACAAGTCTGGGAGAGTCAGGTCCTTGTATTTGTGTAATTCCACAGGTTTCTGGGAAAATCAAAGGTTAAAGTAACAAGTGAGACATAAGTTTATACTCACTGAAGCTCCTGGAGGACCCTGTGGTCCAAGTTCCCCAGGATATCCTGGAGCACCCTGGGCACCCTGTATATTAAAAAAGAAACAGGAATAAATCTCCTGGGAAGATTATAAGCAAATCACAACACTAAGTTCAATGAACTGAACAACAAACAGAGGAGCAGCTCTGTCTCTGGATTTCCTTTTCATGTCTCAGGATAACATAGAAGCATGATTCCTCCTCACTGCTTCATTGGTTGGCATATGTTTCGAAACATAAGAAAACATATCTGTTATTAAACTAAACTACTGAAATGAGGATGTATGTCCTGTTTAACTGTGGACATTCTCATAATCCATACAGTCCTATTGCTAGCCCTAATAAGCCTTTAATCTTATGAACATTCTATGCAATAAATTCTATATTTTAAAGCTTTGTTTTCAAAGAAATGGAAAATTAAAAATTTTAATTTTCCTTTTAATTTAAAGTCCTCCATTTATTGTAACAGTGAAAAGAAATGTCTGCTCTGCCTTCTAATTATCTCCATTTTTAAAATACGGATCATACTGTCCTTCGTTAGTACTCTAGAAGTTGAGCTGGTCTAATCTGTTCAGTCTTACTCCCCAGGGAATTCTTGCAGTTGGACTAGATGGTCATTGTAGGTCCCTTCCAACTGCACTGTTCTACAGTATATGTAGAGGTAAACCCCTAAATCTATGACCAGTTTTTCTCCATTTCTAAAGTATTGTCATTTGTCTGCAATCTGACTTCCTTATCTCACTTTACTAACACATAAAGGACACTACTGGTTCTGATGACAAAATTAATTACTATTGTCTTGGTGTACTCTGTTTTGTAAAGTCAGAAGAAAGACTTTGTATATATTGTATTAATCGGATTATATAAAGTTAATAATTTTTTTAAGACACAATTATTTTCTGGTTTAGAAATTAGTGAGATAATTGTAAAAATACTATATATAAAATATATAATACTTTGAAATTATATACAATATTAAAATAACTTACACATATATATACACACATATTATATATAATGTGGGTCTCTCTATATATTTTTATATCTATATGTATCTCACAGTCTGAATTAATTCTGA